GTTTTAGAAATTGTTTAGTGTAGAATTGATAAATAATTTAAGAAGACGAATATCAAAAAGTTAGGTGACACTCCTTAGGTTTCAAAAAGTGTATTTATTGGACTGTTTTTTTTTTAATTTCAGAGTTAATTTGATCTTACAATATAATAAAAGTAAAGATTCGAAAGTAAAAAATAATTTCAAACTATTTTATGTGAATTATTTAAAAGTATTTAAAATTTTTTCGTGTTATCAAAATATTGATATACCAAAACATGATAGAAAATTATAAAAAGACATTATAGCATGTCACTAATAAAAAAAAATATCGGAACATCTTATATACTTTTTTAATTAGTTTATTATAGAATAATTTAATATAGGATATGCTATTAATATATATATTTTTTTTACATATGATAGTTTTTCAAAAATTCTAATTAAGAAAAATTTAAAGAATTTGAAAAGAGATATTAAAAAAACAATGATCTATTAGAATATGATTTTACATATTTTTCAGTAATTTATAAAGATAATTTGATGTTAATTAAATATTTACTTTAAGTTAATATATTGCTATCACATTTTTATTTTAAAGAATCAATACAAAAATTCTAAAATTTAGAAGAACAAATATTAAAATTAAATAAAAATAAGGTATTTAAAAATAAAAAATTGTTAACATCAAAAGTGACACGTGGCAACCTCTCAAAGTTTTATTTAGAAGACACCTTAAAATATTATACTATATATTAGATTAGATAGTGTGTATATACAAAAATGACTTGTGATAAAACGGGGCTCACTCATCGATCCGTAAGTACCCTCATCGATCCGTAATTTTGGTGGTGGAGAGGAAAGGAACAGGCAAATGCGTCGTGCAGAGGAAAGAATAATTATTGTGCCTTAAATGGGCTTTTACACTGTTAATGGACCTTATAAAACATGGAAATTTTGAATAATTAACATATAAGTACATATGTGTTGTTGTGTTATTGCGTGGGCCTTATTGTAAATTATTGTGTTGGCCCAATTTTTGTTTTAGTGAAGTGAACACGTAGCAGCCCCTTAAAGAGTCTGACAAAAAAAATTTAAAATATTATATTAGATTTATTATTTCGTCTAAATGCAAAGACAAGTTACAATTATTAAATTAGCGATATGTTTCTACAATTTTCAGTCCACATCCATGTGTCCATCAATCCATGTCATTGCCAATCGATTTTAGGATGTCATGTTTAAACAACTCTCTACCATGTAGTATGCTCTTCTATGCGTATGATGGAGGTACTTTGATCCTCTTGCATTTTCTCAATCTTCCACTTTGATTTTCAACAAACTTTCAGAGAGATAGAGGAAGTTTCTTCTTCTTTGAGATCCTCTTTAATTTAAAAATCTTTAACTCTTGCTTTTGTTTTTTTTTTGGCGCTCATAAATTTCAATTTCAAAACTCCTTAAAATATCAAAGAGCTATGTGTTTGTTTCCAACTTTCGCTTCTATAACTTTGAGTTTCTTTCCAACCCGAGAAGTGTAACCAATCTGTGGAAAGAAAAACCACCGGTTCTACTAGAATTGGTGGTAAACCTTCACCAACTAACGATGTGGCATTGTTTCTCTAAGGTAATGTTGGAGAACCCTAACACCACCGTCGATATAATATTGGCGAGTCACGATGATCATACCTAGTACGTGACGATCAGCGCGTGAGCGTCGGTAATGAAGCTCCACATCTCCACTTCCAAACTATGATATAAAATAAAAAAATACAACAAATAAATCAAAAGAAGAGTGAAAGAGACTATATAATTAATAAAAATTAAACGCCACAATACTTGAACAATTAAACGGTTTTAGCAAAGAGAATCATGGTATTGGTGAAAATCCCACAACTTAGACGGGTTATAGGGTATAAGTAAAGACCGTTCGTTAGTGTATGCAACAATCTCGTGAAGTGGCCATACGTTTTCCACTACTAGTATGTGGAGAACTTAACTCGGACATAATGAAAAATGCCACGTGTAAAAAAAACAAATGTGAGTATGGTTACAATGACTATACAATAAACCAAAGCAATCCGCATAAAACTAAAATATGACCACATACAAGAAACCAAAGCAATGTGTAAAACAATGTTTATCTGATTCATAATTGCAAAAGAGTGCTTAAGTTAACTCAAATAAAAATTCTAATTCATAACTTAACTGTCATGACTATATGCAAGAGACCAAAATAACGTACAAAAGCAGTGCTTAAGTTAACTCATACAAGAGGTACGATTCATAACTTAATGGTTATGACTATATGCAAAAGGCCAAAACAATGTACGAACATGAGTTCAGTTTATAATCGCAAAAAATGCTTAAGTTAACTCAAACATAAAGTTTGATTAGTTTTGTTAAAAATGAGCTCAACAAGAAGTTTGACTAGTTTTGATAGTTTTATGTTTTTCTATTTTCATAATAAACAACAAATATACATAACAATTATATGNTTTTGATTTAGTTTAGACTTTTTGTATTTTAGAACTATGCGTTTGATTCCATTTGTTGTATTTTTAACATGAGCCATGAATATAGATTATGATTTGATAAGTTTTTGCGGTCTTGTTTTCCTAAGATAAAGACGGTGTGTCCATCTATCCACAAATGTCACACCCTCATCGAATCTAGTCACACGACTTTCTTTTGGCAATTTGTNGATTTGGGTTCTCCAATATTTATCAGCTTCATATATTATCTTATTTTCCAACATTCTGTCCTTTTTTTTATCTAACTACAACCATAAACCTTTAGTTACAGAGAGAAATGTGAGTTTGGAGGGATAGAAATGAGTTTTGATGGAGTTTGAAGGAGAGAGCTTGAGTTTTGAGAGAGAGAAATAGATTTTTGAGAGAGAGAATGAATTTTCGGGGAGGATAGAAAGATTAGAGAGAAAATTGAGAGAGAAACCGTCATTGTTATTGTAAGCTTGAAAAAATGAGATTGGAAAAGCTGTCTCATATGAATGAAGCTATCTCGTGTGAAAAAGTTGTTTGATAAATGATAAAAAAAACTGAGTAATCCTCGTTTTACGTTTGCTATTTCTTTTTTCAGTTTATTTTGCTAATATTTGTTTTTCTACATCTATATCGTTAGTTATATAGGAAAAAACTACATACTTATTTTATTGCTCGTAAATGTATAATTACCGATTTTATTTGATAATTATATTTAACATAATTATTTAATAGTGTTTCTCTTTAACTGTGAATGTGTCAACAACTATTATTTACTTCAAATGGATGAATAAAATACCCATAATGTTATAATAGTTTGGTGGTTACGTTTTATTCATCAAAGCAATCTAAAATATTTTATGTTAGTTTTCTGCATATATCTTAGAGAGATTTAGTCAAATTCTCTTTAAGACACTTTTTTCATTAAGATTTCTTTCCACATCTTCCGATACACATTTGTATTTCTCTACATCTATTTTTGTTTCACCTATATTATTATTCTTATTACCAAGAGAATATTTCATAATCTTG